TAAAAATCTGTTTCCATCCACTTACAACAAGAAGTCAGACCTTCTGGGCTTCACATACTCAGTCCACTTTGTCCACATCTTGTAAGACGTGTTTCTTTTCTGAGAGTAAATGAGAACTTTCCCATAATGTAAATTTCTGGAATTATGTGGATCCGCTCTTCGATGGTCGGACGGTCGGATTTGAACCTTTTCCTGGCTTTCTTACTCGCTGCCATTCAGAGCAACCTCTTATCCTTATTTCTCAGCAATACATGTTTTGTGTTCATTTTTATGATGTTGGAGGTCAACACAACAGTTTTGCAGTGTAACATGTAAACCTTTGTTTTCATCTTGTACTGTGCTGAATGACACGATGACGTACGTTTTGTTAGAATAAAGTGAACTTGTATGAAATGGTCATTTTGCTTTTGTTCGAGGGCAATTAGAGGCTGCCCTAGAATGATATGGAATGAACTCGCTGCTCCCTCCACCTGAACACTTCACGAGAAGATCTGAAACTGCAAGAGCTGGTTTCTTTAAACACTTTTTAAGTGTTTATAAATGACTTGGAGGCAAAAACATCAGTCTGTAGATGCTTTGAGAGATCATTATTTTTGCTAGCAATGTTTCTGATCCCTGCTGATATGTTTGTTTCTTATCTTCTAAATGTAATCTCACCGTGTGTTATGAATGATTACGTCTGTGTGGATGCTGTTGTGACCTTGTCTGTCTGTCAAGTGTCCTGTCTTGGCCAGGACACTCATGAAAAAGAGGTTTTTAATCTCAATGAGCTTCTTCTGGTTAAATAAATACAAATATCTTGGGCTAAAAATGTGATTCTCAAAACCTAAAGCGAAAGACAGTTTGGTTGAGAGATACAGCGTCATGTGGTAGAAAAGATGTAAACAAACACAACCAAGGAAACTCTATGAGAACCTTTAAGAAACCAAAACAACTCATAGGTGTCTACTGTAGATGTTCCTCATTTATTTATCATGTAATACTTTCAGAGTTTGCCTCGGCACACTGACACCGACCGTCACCACATGACCCCCCGGAGGTCTCCACAGCCCACAGGGACCTTTAAAAGCTCTAATAATAGGGCGACACTGTGAAAAACTCAGCAGCACAGAGGAAACGGGAGTCTTCAGACTTTAGGAAAGCCTACAGCTGCTGTAGGAAAACTACTGTCCTGCCCCTGGATGAGTCAGCCATTGAATAGAGCTGACCAGGCCATATCCTCGTCCCTTCCTGACAGGAAACTTGTCTGGATCCCAGATATCCAAAAACAGACATGTTTGGAACACACCCAGCCCCAGGCTCACACAAAGTCCTGCCTCGTTAGGGACATGGAAAAAAACTACCCGCATTGCAGGAACGGACTCTTCTTTTTTTTTTCCTCCTTTCTTTCTTTAATGAGGCACACTTTTGTTGTAGACTTTGCTGTGAGACGGAAGGAGAAGAGCTCCTGCAGTGAGAGCAGCTGCGATTCATCCTGAGATCAGCACAAACAGCCCATCAGTCAGCTGCTTCGACCTTAAAACACTGATGAGAGGAGGTTTCAGGCTGAAACGCTCTGCTGGTCACTTTGCTTTACGCAGATCTCCCTGCGTTCAGTCCCCCGCTCATGTGTCTGAGGGGAAACTAACGGGAATCAGTGGAAACTAGTTGGTGAAAACAAACTGCGCTATTGTGCTGCGAGCGGTGAAGATCGAGATCAGCGATCTGAGGCTCACTTACCTTCAGACGAGAGCTGGACTCGAAGCTTTCACACGGTGGAGAGTCGGATCATGATGTGCCGCCTTTCCTGTCCGCCAACCTTCCTGGATCTTCGGCCGGACTGTGCAGGCATGTGCTGTCACCAGAGGGGCGTGGACTCCTGCAGGAGCCCCGGAGGAGCCTCCAGCCGCGCTGCATGCTGAGACAGCTGAGAGGGACCAGACAGCACCCATGGGCTCATATAGTCACACCAGTCATCACAGCATCAGACACAGAACCCACCCCGGCTTGGTCTGACCCAGGTCCTGGGTTTTACCATCTAACTCACAGGACTGGGTTGTTCCTCTGACCCAACTTCATATTTTTTTTGTTATTAGTTTTGTAAACTGTTTTTCTGGAATAAACATGATTAATTTACTGAGTTATTTCGGCTCTCATATATTTATTATATTCCGTTAAAATTGTTACTATTACTAT